AATGTGTTAAATAGGTATAAAAGAATAACAAAATGTAAAAGCAACCAAAAAATCCATATATGAAAAGAAAACAAATGTAATTAGTTTACAAATGAAGTTTTGTTATGAAATGAAATGACACAGTAAAAAAGTATTGAACACATGAAGAAGGGGAGGTGTAGAAAGGCAGTGAAAGCCCAGACAGCAGCTGAAATCTCTCAGTATTTATTCAGCAACCCTCTGCCCTTCCTCATTGTAAATTAGTATTAGCTGCTTTTGTCCAACATCTACATTAGCAGGATGATGAAGTTGAAACCAGGGTGGACATTTCAGCAGGAAAGTGATCCAAAACACAGCCGAGGAAACTCTCAAATGGTTTCACAATTGCAAATCAAGCTGTAGTTCAGTACTTTCTCTTTGCGTCATTCCAATGTTATTACACATAACAATATTTCAGTTTTTTTGTTTGTTTTGTTTTGTTTTATTTTAATGTTTGTGTTGTTTAGTTGTTTTTTTTTACCAAAATCCAGTTCAATTCCATGTCAACAGCCCCTCTAGAAATATTATTGCAGGAGGAAAACAACGTTCAAAATACTTATTTCCCCCACTGTATATTAAAACACTTATTTTAAAATGTGTTAAAATGTGACAGTATTGCTGCTTTGACATCAAGCTATTTTCAAAACCATTTTAAAAGTAGTTGTGTATAATAATATAATTTTATTTATTTATTTTACAGTCTGATACTGAAGCTCCAAAGTCCCTCCCTCAAATGAAGCCCACAGAGTCTCCTGGATCCCTGCTGAAAGACTCCTCTTCCTCCGACTCGGATGACTTTGTTATGGTTCCGGCTCAGTTCACCAGTAAGATGAGCCCTCGCACTCGCTGACCTACTTGAGATTATGTAACAAACCAAACTGCTTTATGTGCACAAATACTCAATGTGATAACTCTTGTAGGTGAGCCAGTCGGTGCAGAAGGGCAGGACAGCTTGATGCGCAGCGGGTAAGTGGCGTTATGCTTTTTTAATACTGTAGTTTTAAAGTGACACGGCCCACACACATAGCATATAGAGTTGCATGCAAAATGCTTCTCATCGTTTCGTGTGACGCTCGGGCTAAAAGCATTTAATTTCAGCACTTACTATAATGGTTTGCATGTATGCCAACATGTCCCGTGCCATGAATATTCATTTCAAGACAGTCATTTGACCTTTTGACCTGCTAACCGTTTTTACGATTCTGTGAAAGCGATGTTTACGCATTGAAGAATTTGTGCTGAGAATGAAGGAAGACCTAAAGGTCATGCTAGCAAAATGTGCTTGATGTTTTTTTTAGCGTCAGTTATCAAATACTTCCATGATCTAGTTAAAAAAAATGTTTTTAAGACGCATATACTTGTACACTACTTTTAATATTTGGGTTAAAAAGATTTGTAATGTTTTTGAAAAAAAGTCTCTAATGCATGACGCATATCTTTGATAAAAAATACAGTGATCTATTTTAATGTACTTCAAAGTGTACAGCCATGGAGTATCTGCTATCAATATAATTTATTTTCCTTTGGCTTAGTCCCTTATTTATCAAGGGTTGCCACAGTGAAATGAACCACCAACTAATCCAGCATATATTTTACGTGGCGGATGCCCTTCTAGCCGCAACCCAGTTCTGGGAAACACTCATACACACACACACACACTCATACACTATGGCCAGTTTAGCTTATTCAATTTACCTATAGCATCTGTCTTTGCACTGTGGGGGAAACCGGAGTACTTGGAGGAAACCCAGACGAACATGGGAAGAACATGCAAACTTTACACTGAAATGCCAACTGACCCAGCCAGGACTTGAACTAGTGACCTTCTTGCTGTTCGGTGACAGTGCTAATCACTGAGCCATCATGCCACCCTGTTTGTTTCACTCATTTTTAATTAATCATTACTTATTCAGTTTTAAGTTTTTTCAGTGATCTCTGTATTTTTTCCTTTTTTAATGGAAGAGTACCGGGGTATCTTTGTTTTGATTAGGTCTATATTTGTTTTGATATGTTGCAATGATGGCTAAGCTTCAATGAGAATAAGACATTTAAAAAAACACCTTACAAACCCCAAAGTTTTGATCTGTAGATATATGCAAATATGTATGTGTGTATATATAATGCAGTTCTGCCAACTCAATGGCAATTTGTGCAAACCTTTGGGAACATCATGAAATCCCCAAAAACTAAAATGGTGAAAAGTATTGAACACGTTATTTATTTATTATTTTTTTCTGGAAAAAATATTCTAAAGGAGCTGTTGACATGGGATTGAACCAGATTTTGGTAAAAATCCAACCAATATAAACAGAAAAAAAGCAAAACAAAAAAAAATCCGAAAAATTAGTTATGTATAACGACAATGGAATTAGACAAGCAGGAATACTGAACTACTGAAATGGATTTAATACTTTATATACAAGGTTTTTTGGTGATGGCAGCTTAAAGACGACTCTCAAATGGAGAATGGAGAAGTCACATGCATTGCTCAGGTGTGATTTTTTACAGAGTGTATGTTGTATGTGATGTGTATTTTGTATTTTCTATTGGATTCAAGTCAGGTGAATGGCTGAGCCATTCTGCATCTTGATTGTCTTTCTCTAAAACCATTTGAGAGTTTTCTCGGCTGTGTTTTGGATCATTGTCTTGCTGAAATGTCCACCCTGGTTTCATCTTCATCATCCTGCTAATGTAGATGTTGGACAAAAGCAGCTAATATTAATTTACAATGATGAAGGGCAGAGGGTTTCTGAATATCTACTGAGAGATTTCAGCTGCTGTCTGGGCTTTCACTGCCTTTCTACACCTTCCTTTCTTCATGTGTTCAAAAATGTCCCTCTGACGTTTAAGTTTTTACACATAACTTATTTTGTAAACTAATTAGTTTTCTTTGCATATATGGATTTCTTTGGTTGTTACCAACATCCAGTGAAAGTTTCAAGTCAACAGCACCTTTAAAAGTTTTCTAAGAAAAATGGTGACGTGTTGAATACTTATTTCCCCCACTGTATGCAAGATAGGATAGTTAAGTTACAGCAGTCATGACAAACATGTTTTATTACAATTAGGGCTTTTCCTTCCTAACAAGTTATTTAATAAACCTTGTGGAGAAACTTTCAAGAATAGATAAAGCTGTTTGCCCGGAAAGGGTGAACCAACTTCTTTTTAAACCTTAGATATTTAGATTGGGATGTCATTAAAGTAATATACAGTATACTATATATATTTAATATCTTAAAAAATAAGATTATAAAAAATGTAATGTTAGTTGAAGTTCACAGTGCATGAATGATAATAGATATTTGATGCCAAAAATGCATTGCAAACTTTTGTTTAATGTGAACACAGTTAATAAATGCTGAAGAAGTATGATTCATTTTCAGTTAAGCTAATTAATGATAACAAACAAACCTTGTAATGTCTTACTAAAGTTATTTGTACGTTAACTTTGTAAACAGTAAAAAAGAACTGTGTTTGTGTATTATTTGTAGAAGCTCACTGCTGGGTGCCACTGCTTATATGTGTCAAACACCATCGTCCTCTCCATCTGGCAGAACATCCCCGAGACCCTCCAGGTACTGATCCTGCAGATTAACAATCATTAATACTGTAGAGACTGTGAAAACAACACACACTCTCTGAAGATCACATTCAACAATGGCAGTTGTTCACGTATAACCTGAGAGACAGCTGTCTGAGCTGACATGAGTGGAGAAAGCTAGACTTCTAGAGATAGAAAATAATCCGCAGATCATAAGATTGAACAAATGGTTCAAATGTTTGTTCGAACATGTGGCATGTCAATCATTCACCTATTTTTTTTTCCGCTTTTTTTTTTTAGGCATCTAGAGTCGTGTGGCAGTAGCTACGCTCAGTCTATTCCTGTTCCAGTGCCAACACAAAAGCACAACTACCAGAGGATGGAGCATAATCTACAAGAGTCTGAAAGGTTGGGTTTGTCATCTGACATAATGAGGATGAAGAAATGCATAAAGATTTGCAAGAATGGCCAATTTGTTAACACAACTTCTGTTTTTTATTTTTTATTTCAGGACCTCAGCGTCTGCACATCACTGTTGCTCTGATGGATCTCCAGCATGTGGGAGAACCGGTGTTTCTCCAGATTCAGGAGGATCCAGATCGTATTTACCTTCCCCACAGGGTAAAGAAACCAGTTCTTCGATGATCTGTTTATGTATTTGCATATTTTCCTTATTGAGGAACAGACTTTAACAGCAGTTTTAAACAGGAAACTGGAAATAACAGATAGCCATTCAGAGTTTGCATATACTGTGTCTGGCATACCCACATGCATTCATATACATTTCATTATGGAAAAAATAATGTCCCTTTAATAACAAAAAAGTAGGGGGGAAAACAGGAAACACTTGACAGAAACTAAAGCAACTTTTTATAAAATGTTTTCAGTGATTAAAATAAATTTGTAATAAAATGTAATTTTTTAATCAACATGATTACAAACATATGTATTCACTTTGCTAAATGTAAAACAGATATAAAATCAAACTAAACTGTAGAGAAAGATTTAAAAAAAAAAAAGAAACCCTGTTTAATCAAACCAAGACACCATGTGGATTCTAAACCTGTTTTTTTCTTTATTTTTTTAGTCGGAAGCATTCCTGAAACACCCAGTCAGCCTGAACCTGTTGGCAGCAGGACAGGGTTTCATGCCACAGGTAAAATATTTTGTTTTACTGTGCACTGATTTGATTTTGTAGACTTGTCCAACTTTCTCTCTCTCTCTCCTTATCTCCCAGATCAACAGCCTGGTCAAGTGTCTCCTCTCTTCACTGACCTCACAGACTTGGACCCAACACTGGCCCAAAGACTCAGAGCTCATCGTCACAGTCTGGATACCATAGTGCACAGGGTGAGTAATTGGGAAGAACTTTTTTTGCTCCACCAATATACAATAGTATTACTGGATCTGGGTTTAAAGCCTCGGATTTGAAAAACGTCTTTGGTAAAGTTTTATAATGAATGAACCAAACCAACCAGTTACTGAATCACATATTACCCATTTAGATTTGATGCACAAAAGTGTATCAAAATCTGACAAAAAGGCAAAGCTACAAAACTGTATTCTAATGAGAGATTAAAACAACATTACAGTACAATAAATACAGTAATCAAATAAAAACAAATAAGAAACATAAACCTATTCATTTAAATGTGTTGATTGTCTGTGTAGATACTGTATATTTCAAGTGTACTGAAAAAATATAACACAAGCATGTAAGTATTTTTAGAGAGTGGTGAAACAAACTGTATAATGTCCTTTGTGGTGTTTCATGGGAGGGGGCGTAGCCAGGTCCGGATTAACTAATGAGCATTATCGGCACAGGCCCAGGGGCCCGTGCGCACTTGGGGCCCCTACGAGGGGGGGATTTTGGAGTGTCTATTTAGTGCAAAGTGCAAAATAGCAAACTTCGTTAGCTAGTTAAGCGATTTCCGCCCATCACTGTTTGATTGACAGAGACAACATAACTAAAGAGTGCAACAAACAGCAGCGTGAGTGGCGTGAGTAAAGCGCATGGCAACTTGTTTTGACACGATCGATCATGAACCGGGTTTCGAATCCAGCGTCTGATAAACACGTTCTTCTTTTTTTCCCCGCTACATATCAGTTTTGCCCACTCTTCATCACGAGGAAGACAAGTAGGAATCATTAATAAGTGTGTGTATTATAGAAGACGCAGATTCATAGAACTAGATTGCAGAGGTGTTATATCCAAATCATATGCGTTAAGTTTGTAAAAGTTATTCATTGAAAATACCCTTAAATATATATATTTTAGTACTGCTTCTGTGAACTTGAACAAGTATATTAAAATCTATTAATTTTCACTAGTTGTATTTGTATTTATTTCTCAAAATATGCTTTAAGTGATATACAGTACATATATTTCTAGTCTACAAAGATTTAACTTATTTTTATTTTTAAAATGTGGACAATACATTATAGATTGAGTTTATTTAAAAAAATATTATATTAGTCAAATTTTTTAATTCAACTTTAAGGTTGTGGCTAGTAAGGGGGCCTACAAGACATTGCGCAGAAATAGATTAGCTCCGCCCAGGCCCTAATTAAGAATTCAGAGGCCCCTAGGCTTTGAATCTTTGATTGGTGGAGTTTTCTGTACAGCATTATGGGTAATGTAGTTTCTCTTCACAATTTTCACAGTTTTAAAAATAATCTGACAGATGGGCTCGGCAAAACTTTTACAATTGTTTAACATCCTCTGAGCTCAAAACAGGCTCGTCTTTGCAAGTTTTTCACATTTTTTTTTTCCTATGCAGAAAACAAATGGAGTTTATTCTTCCAGAACTTCTTGTTTTTGCTTCCAGAAACACTGATTTGTTTAGTTCTGTATAGAAGAGGAAGTCATTACATTTTACATTGAGTTTAAAAAAGGAACTCTGTGTAATACATGACCTTATTTAAAGGAAATTCAACCAAATATATGACCAAATATTCTGATATTAACATATTATTGTACTGTATATATAAACTTTCATTCCAGGTTTGAGCTGTGGGATTTTAATTTATTTCATTTTATATTTTATAATAATAAGAGGCATTAAACTTAGTAAAACAAGTGAAAATAAAGAAATAATGTTGCCAAAAACTTATATTAATATAAATTATGTTTTAACTTCCTTTTAACACACACACACACACACACACACACACACACACACACACAGACACACACACACAAATATTATGTAGATCATTTGACTCTAAAGACTAGAACACTGATTGTTCAATTTTTTTTCTAAAAACTTATTTAAATAATAAATACAGTAATATAAATGATTTTTTTTATTATTATCATTACTTTTTTATTTATTTATTTATTTTTACCTGTTTTGATCTAGTAAGTCTCCTAATGCCAATGGACCTTTTTTCACCGGGCGTGTTTAACATTCATGATGATCTTAAATCCTTGAAGTTTTTTAATATTTAGATTTTTTTTTTTTTAAATTTATATGCATTTATGAATGTATTATATCATCTTTGTGTCAAATTACAGAAAATGAATTACCGCTCATGTGAGGTCTCTGGCGCTGAGAGAAAAAATTATGTTATTCTCTCCTCTGGCTGTCGTCATCAGTCTTGCACCATTTTTTTTTCCTTTTTTTGAAAGTTTTTATAACACCATTATGGCGTTTTTCTTTTATTATTTCAGCAAATATGATTGTAAAAAAAAATATTTGTTGTACTCTCCGATCTATGACACCTTCCGTGACTGAGAAACCCGGAAATGTGAAAAGGATCTGTTTTGGGTGTGCATGAAAAAATAATAAATAAAAATCCCAATCATAATCTTTTAACCTATAGTGCAGTTTAAATGTTACCTTACCAATGTTACCATGCAAACATGACTCTTTATTTCAGTGGGATTTGTGTCGGCGTCCCAGCTTTGGTCAAACTCCAAATGCAGCACTGCTTCAGCGAGGCCTCACCACCCGAACCAAGACCATGTGTGACCTGAAAGATCTGGCACAGTATCCTGCTGCGGGGCCTCGGGTGCCGCTTGTCAGGCCAGCAGAAAGAAGAGACACCGTCAAAAGGTAGTAGTCAACAACATGGCTTCAATTCAGACTCAAGAAATCTTGTGAAGCGTTAGTGACGATGATATATCTAGTAATCAGCACTGTAAGTTTGTTCTCTAGAGCCGTGTTTGTGGGTCATTTGTGTTGTAGGTCAGTGAGTACCGGCCGTCTCTCGGATAAACTGCTGAAGGCTGTGTTTGGACATCAGCTTGACAGAGGCAGCTGCGAGAGCTTAAATTCAGAGAAACCCATGGATACAACTGGTATGAGCTCACACTAAGAATGATCTTAGATGTGTCCTTTATTCATATTAATAATAAGAAGAATAGAGATTAGTAAAATACTTATTCATAGTATATTGTTTTGATTTTTATTTTGAAATAGAAAATGATTACAATATTTCTTTTATTGTTACTTTTATTGTTGTTATTATTGTTAATACTGCCACTACTGCCAGGCAAATGATATAATTAATTATAATTATTTAATACTTATATTAATAACAGTAACTGCAGTAACTTATATTAATAACAGTTGTTTTGCTAGATATATTATTACAGTATTTACAATGTTTAAACAGATATTTTTGTTTTTAATATAAGATTAATCATTGAATTAATGTTATTGATAATAAATTAGTAATTCATATTGTTAATTATTAATTATTTAAATATTTTTATTATCATTATAGGCATAGTGATACACAAGAAATATTTTAGATGATGTTTAATTTTTTATTTATATTTAGTTTTGTATTATTAGTGGTAAATCGTTATATAAAATAAAGTTGGGAACACTTATAGTATATTTTTATTTATGAAAAGTTACAATAATTTTTATTATTTTGTTTGTTGTTGTTGTTGTTGTCATTATTACTACCTTTACTGCTACTACTACCTATTAAATGATAGTATTGCATTTGAATATCAATAATTTTATTAATAATCATCATCGTTTGTATTCATAATAATAATCATAAACATAATTGTAATAGTCGTCGTTGTTGTTGTGCTAGACCTATTATTAAAATGTTCAAAATTTTATAAAAAAAATATAAATATTGCTACATTTATTTTGTATAACATTTTAGCAAATGTTTTGTGGTGTGTATTATTAATTATTAATAACATTCATAATAATGTGTATTATTATTATTACCATTAATATTATTAGTAATAATAATATTATAGCCATAATGATATACAATCACTTAATTTATATGAATCTTTATTTTTGAGTTGTATGATTATAAGTAACATGTTGTTATTATTAAATAAAGTTATGGAAATTTATTTTAATTAATAAATGTAATAAAATTTATTTGCATTTTTTGTGTGTGTATTTTAAACTTGAATACAAAACTACCTGCACGGTTACAGTACTTTAAATGATTGATTTAAGTTTATGACAAAGCTAAAAATGATACCGTTCCAATTTTTTTAGGATATAATACAATTTTTAACGTTTTTTATTATTATTGTTATTATTATATTATATTATAATTATATTATTATTCTGTTTTTAATGGTTATTATAGATCATCCATAAAAGGGTCTTTAAAGTTGGTTCATAAAAACCATATTGTCCTGTTTTCTCCAGCGCCTCCTTGTGGTGTTGATCGCTCAGACAGTCCTGCTGGAGTCATGTTCATGCTGGGCACTCCTGAATATGGACACACTCCGCCTCATGCTAGACACAGACGCTTCTCAGGTGACACTTCCATTATTTTACATAAGGAGATGGAAACACAAGTATTGCATTTGCATGGTGTTGTGTCTGTTAGATTTGTCTTCAATCTGTTTTTTTGTTTTGTTAAAGTGGGGGCTCCTTGCTCTACCAGTCCTGGCTGGACCTACGGCTCTCCTGAAAGCCTGCTCTATGGTTACACAGACGCCATGGCAACAAACCTGCACGAGAATGTGACATTTGTGCCACCTGAACTGCCAGAGGAGACGTTAATGGAGGTATAATAAATGGCCTATACATTATGGATGAGAATACAATAGTGGCTCATTATCCTAATTAAAGTCGACAGTGTGATCAAGATCCTCTCACGTTATTATGAAAGCATAAAAAGGAGAGTACATGCCTAATCTATGGCAGATTACGGGCACTGCTTATGATTATATACACCTTTATGACAAATCACTTGTTGTATCCCTCATTTGTTTGATGGTTTGGAAAAATGTTTGCAATTTAATCTAAATATTTTAATCTAAAAGTTTGCAATTTAATCTGATGTTTATTGTGTTGTTTTGGTTCTTTTGCTTTTGTACGATGAAGGACCTTTGAAAAGGCTGAAATCCCAGTTATTTAATGACCACCTGCTAAATAAATGGAAATGGAATACTAGTTTTAGACCGAGTCATTTTTTACATGTTAACACTGATAATGAGGCATGAACTAGCACAAATTAAGATCAATTAAAACGCGATGAGAATCAAAGAACACAATCAAAATACATGAGAAACACCCAACATCTGAGATACAATTTTTATTTTATTTTAATTTTTTTTATCAAAGCTCATACATTTGCAATGCACTTTTTTAATGTGATGAGACAACAGTATTTATTTGTAGAGGCTTCGAAGGAATTGTTCTTAAATGTAAATGTAATTTTCTAATATTATTATTATGATGTCTTTTTATTGTTGTACATATATCAGAACAGAAAATGTTAGCAGGTTTTGATAACCATTGAACCTTAAATGAAATTACCCATAAAACAACCATTGTACATTTAAATGCCAATAAATTAAATATTTTATTTATTTTATTTACTTTATTGTTTTATCTTACATGGCAATAAATAAAAGTATTTTGTTTTATTTTATTTATTATTTTACCTTATGTGGCAATAAACTAAAGGGTTTTATTTTATTATTTTACTTTATGTGGCAATAAACTAAAGTATTTTATTTTATTATTTTCCTTACATGACAAAAACTAAAGTATTTTATTTTATTATTTTCCTTACATGACAAAAACTAAAGTATTTTATATTATTATTTTTCCTTACATGACAAAAACTAAAGTATTTTATTTTATTATTTACGTTACATGGGAATAAACCAAAGTATTTTATTTTATTATTTACCTCACATGGAAATAAACTAAAGTATTTTGTTTTATTTTATTTCATTTTATTTATTATTTTACCTTATGTGGCAATAAACTAAAGGGTTTTATTTTATTATTTTACTTTATAGGGCAATAAACTAAAGTTTTTTATTTTAATATTTACCTTACATGGCAATAAACTAAAGTATTTTATTTTATTATTTACCTCACATGGCAATAAACTAAAGTATTTTATTTTATTATTTGTCCGTATATGGCAATAGACTAAAGCATTTTGTTTTAATTTATTTCATTAGTTTTTTTCATTTTTTTTAAAAAATTTTTTATTATATTTTATTTTATTTTCATACGACTTAAGTAAATGCTAATGTAGTTATCATTATAGCCGGTGTTCTTGGTGAGAACAGCACCAAGTATCATGCCTGCTAGTAGAACTAATTTATCAAAAACATTAGATTTTTATGATGTGATGTCATTTTTTTCATCACCACAGGAGGGACACACGGACTTGCTGAGCCAGCTGCGCTTCGTTCTAGCCTTTTCCCACTGCATAACAGAGCTGGCTGGAACAAAGGACAGCGGGACTGGAAGAAACGTGCCACCTGATGCTTCACTCTTAGAGCAGAGTGTAGTGGCTGACCAGATCAGCCTGCTGAGCCGAGAGTGGAGGTGAAACACTGCTTAATCATACACACACATTATGTGTCTCTGATATAAATGTCAAGTACACTGTGGTGACCTGCGTGTGTGTGTGTAGTTCTGCAGAACAATTGGTTCTCTATATGAAATGTGCTGAGCTGCTGTCTTCTGCACTACACACAGCGATGGCTGGCATCAAAGAAGGAAAACTCTACCCATCAGGATCTGTGAAACAAGGTAAACCACACACTCCGCTAAAAGCTGTGACACAAAAAGATGATGTCAAAGAACTGACGGTAACTGCGTCTACATCCTAACTTAAAGAAAATCTCCTCAGTCACATTGGTGGAGTTGCTCTTCAGTGTTTTGACTTTTAACAGTGACATTTGCATTACACTTGACTTGACACAATCTACTTCGTAAAAAGTGCTGAAGAAATAAAGATGAATTTAATTTTATCAATTGAAAGTTTGGAAAAACTAAAAGAAGAAGTGAGAATAAAATAGATGATGTTCTTTTAGTAGCTAAAGGAGGTGTTGGTTATCCTCAGTGGTAATTGAAGAACCACAAATGGTCAATTAGTAGCTTTGGTTTAATGTTAGTTACCTCATAATTTACTCACAAAATTCATTTCCACTAAATCCAAAAACATCTTAAGCTACTGTAAAGGATTTTATAGGGATAACTTTTTTTTCTGAGCCGATAATTAAAGAGATAGTTGACCCGAAAATGAGAATTGACCCACACTCATGTTGGTCTAAAGCAGGGCTGTCCAATCTTTTCAACCAAACTTGATTGTGGCTAGTGGGCCGAAGTTAATAATATTAAAAAAAAAAACTAGGAACACATTGCTTTTTATTAACTAATACCGCATATTTTTCACATTTTATAATGGAAAAAAACAAAACAATCTCATTTATAACAGAACTACACTAGTTTTTGTTTTGATTTGTTGATGAATGTCTTCTGCATAGCCTTTTATTCGGTGAGTGCCAGCATTAACATTTTTAAAAATCAGATTCATTTATAACATTTAATTTATTTCACTTAGCTTTTTATGTAGCTCAGCTATAAAGCAAGCAAACAAAAAGGTTTCGCCAAATTAGAATTGATGATCTCTTTTGAAGACATTCACCCCAACCCTCTCTATCCTTCACATTCTCTTCTCAGATGGAATGGTGGGTCAAATCAAAGGCTATACTGGGCCAACTTTGCCCTACTTTGCGTATCTCTGGCCTGAAGCTTACTTTTTTTTATACATAAAATAAGATATTTTGAAAAATGTTGGAAACTGGTAGCCATTGACTTTCTAGTGGAAAAAATACAATGGAAGTCTACCTATTTCCAGTATTCTTTGAAATATCTTTTTTTGTGTATAATGTGAAAAGGAAACACTTGGAATGGGTGAAGGGTGAGAAAATTATGGCAACTTTAAGACCGTAATAAAACATATTAAAACATGGTCATTAAAACCCTAGCTTGCGTTGCCTCCCTAGTGGAAAAAACTTTGGAAGGCAATAGCTACCTGTTTCCAACATTCTTCGAAATATCATCTTTTGTATTCAACGTGTAAAGGAAACACTTGGAATGTGTAAAGGATGAGAAAATTATGGCAGAATTGTCGCTTTTGAGTGAACTATGCCTTAAAAACAACATTAAAACAGTAATAAAACATTGATTAAAACCCTAGCTTGTGTTGCCTCTTCACATCTGCTGCGTCTTTTTCGGCGTGTTTTTGTTTTAAATATTTAAACATGCTCACCAATGCTACATTTAAGTGGTTACTAATACAGAAAAATAGTAATGTTATGAAATATTATTCAAATGAATCCTTTGTTTTTGCTTATCTTGTGATAGTAAAGCTACATTTTTATTAACATTACTTGAGTCTTTAATGTGACACAAAAAAATTGTTATAATGCAGCTTTTGTATTCAGTAATGATTTATTATTATTATTATTATTATTATTATGTTTAAAACAAATGTTTATTTCTAGAAATTGTTCTACCTTTTATTCAGTAGTTTTGATGGGAAATGTTATAACAATATAAAAGTATTTTACTGTCATTTATGAGACCTTAATTGAGACCTTCATTCTGAGTAGCATGTTGTGTGTGTGTTGCTCTTGCAGTGGTGCGTGAGCTGAATGAGATGTATAAGGAGTGTGTGAACTCCTGTCGTTCTCTGACTGAGAAACTCCAGCACTTCTTCAGCAGCAAACAGAGACTGATGGACCGGATGAACAGCATCACCGCTGAGAGGCTCATCTACGCACACACCATTCAGATGGTAAGAAGGCACACATATAGAGTGTTTCTTATTTTACAAGGAGAAACGTGTTTTAGTTTACAGATTCTGTATGTTTCTCCTCTCTAATGTGATTAGGTACAGACGGCAGCACTGGACGAGATGTTTCATCACGGAGAAAGCTCTCTAGAGAGATACCACAAGGCCTTACTGCTGATGGAGGGCCTGTCCTTGATTATTACAGAGCCTTCAGACCTAAACAATGTCAACAAATGTAAGTATGATATGAATAAACTAGCGTTCAAATGGATGGAGTAATTTTTTGTCTTGAAATAAACAAATACTTAAACATTAAATATATTAAAGGAACTATGTAATTTTCAACACTAGTGGGCGCATTTTCACAATAAACAAATATGTGGTTTGATGACGCCCTGACTGAATGTTGATAATAGACCCTTTTCACAATGACGTCACTTTACTTCCCCTCCCCCACCAGCAACGGAGTGTATTTTTAGTTTTGGTTTATTGAATGAACGTGAGACAACTGAAAATATTAACACTGCACATTGTGATTTAAGATTATTCCAGTATTGGGCATGTGTTCAAATGTTTCTCTTTTAATACTGAGCTGCTTTCTGAGTTTGAAAATGCTTCTTTAGGTTATTAAGAGTAGAAGTAAGGTATTGTTTATCTAGGAAAAATATGTTTGCAACCTTTTCACTTATTAATTAAGATTTTTTTCTCAATAATGGATTTATTTTTACTTTGGTGCTCATCATCATCAATTATTTCATGATTTATTTCATGATTTATTTTTTTTGTTCAGTTTTTCCATTTGAATGAATTCAGACAGTGTCCTACCGCCACCTACTGGTTGAATATAATTTAATATTAGTAGTCATTCATTCATTTTCTTGCCGGCTTAGTCCTTTTATTAATCCGGGGTCGCCACAATGGAATGAACCGCCAACTTATCCAGCACAATTTTACACAGCGGATATTCTTCCAGCCGCAACCCATCTCTGGAAAACATACACACACACTCATACACACTCACACACACACTCATACACTATAGAAAATTTAGCCTACCCAATTCACCTGTACTACATGTTTTTGGACTGTGGGGGAAACCGGAGCACCCGGAGGAAACATGTAACAGGGAGAACATGTAAACTCCACACAGAAACGCCAACTGAGCCGAGGCTCGAACCAGCGACCCAGCGACCTTCTTGCTGTGAGGCGACAGCACTACCTACTGCGCCACTGTGTCGCCATATTAGTATTACCTTTTAATTAATAATGTTACAAATAAATTCATAATCTAATAAAACTGAATTAAAATTCTTGGTGTTATTTTTGCAATTGAACGTTTTTATAATGATTTTGTTTGATTGTTAAGAGTCACATACAACATTGTTATTCTATTTTATTTCATTTTATTGAAAATTAAATAGACATAGATGTTTTATGTTCATGAATAAAATACTTAAATAGAAAAAAAAAGGCAGAGAAGTGAGCAGTAGAATGTGAATAATATAAATGTGTTCAAGAATCAGCTGTCCACTGTAAACAACCACAGTGAAACACCCACAGTTTTATTAATTACTTATTCTTCAGGACACAAAAAATAATACAAATAAATTTGACATAAAAGGAAAATATTCAGCACCCATATAAACATCTGAAATCTTTGTTTGACAAATGCTGACAAGTATGTACCAACTTCATCTGCAGCAAAGACAGCAACACAAAACAAAGTCCTATTTTCTTGGTTCAAGCAGAAATCTGGATGACCTGTACTTTTTTTTTTAATGTCAGACATCTCACCTTGAATGCAGACAACAGAAGATGACAACAATCATCATCTAACCGCATCTGTAGTAAATATACAGCTAACTGAGGAGTTGTACAGTATGTTCTATTCTATAATTTTAGCAGTTTTCAACCCTAATTTTGAAGTGTCTTTTTTTATTGGAACATTCAACAAGAGTACAAATATATAGAGACACGATAAAAAAACAATAAAAAATAGAACAAAACAAAGCAAAACAAAAAGAGAAACAAAAATAATGCCAGAGGTAATATAAATTATAAATTACAATCGAACATTTTAAATTCATCTCAAAGCATGATCACAATGATATATAAATGGTCATATAAAACAGGGGTTCCCAAACTTTTCAGCCCGCAACCCCCAAAATAACAATGCCAGTGACTAGCGACCCCCAATATCCTCTGAGGTGGTTATAAATACAGAAACCTTGCATGCAATGACGCAGACACACCAATTAAATTTTTTTAACGTGTGTCAGTGCTTTAAATGTGCCAGAAAGTTTAACCTGGTGTTATAAAATCAAAATGCATCTGACGCTATTGCTGCCTTTAATATAATGTAATTACCCCTGGGGTCATAATCCAATAGAACTAGTAACTATAAGCTACTATAGTAACTATATAGTATATAGTAACTATAAACGACTATTTTTATTTTCAGCAAAGTGATAGATAAAATATGTTAATTCTTATGGTTCAATAAAAATAAATAGATTTTTGGAAATCACCAGGCGACCCCCCTTCATTGCCCCGCGACCCCTCGGGGGGTCCCGACCCCCACTTTGAGAACCACTGATATAAAACACAGTCAGCTGGGTATTATAGAAAAGCGACAATACTGTAAGATTCACAGTGTTATTTCTTTTAAGGCTTTAACATTGCTGCAGGTAGAGATTGTATCCAAGTAATATTTCAAATCTTTACAAACGATAAGAACTGGCTTTACAGACGAAAATGTGCATTTATATATGGGGAGTTCTGTGGAGGTGGAAGTAACGATACACTGCATGAAGTGAAACCGAACACCGTGTGACGTCAAGTGAAAAGGGTCTATGTAAATCAGCAAAATATTTAACACATATGAAAAATATCTGTAATGTTCAAATATAAAATTAAATAAATGTATATTATTAAATCAATATTATTTAAAGTTTTTCAAATTTGAACAGTTCATATTACGGTTACAAAAAAATGTAAATATTATTTATAAGAATTGCACCAAATCATTGTTGATTTGAAGATTGATTCAACCCCTCATTCATATTCATCATGTTAATTTAATGTTTGCTTTCTTTTTGAAAGCTTAAAATTAACATTTTTAAGTGGCGGGACAAAAATCTCCCATATTTGATTTAAAAATATCTTCCATTTTGTTCTGATGAACATAAACAAGAGTCTTTAGTTTTTGGAATAACATGAGTTTTTATTTTAGGGGTGAACTAATCCTCATAGTTAAAAAGCTCTATATCGTGGGTCTCAAACTCGATTCCCAGAAAGCCACAGCTCTGCAGTTTTGCTCCAACCCTTATCAAACACAGCTGATCCAACTAATCAAGGTGTTCAAGACTACCCGAGACCATCAAGCAAGTGTGAGTTGGAGGTGGATGAATCTGCAGAGCTGTGGCCCCCCAGGAATTGAGTTTGAGAACACTGCTCTACATTCATCTCATCTCTGATGTTTATGTATTTGGTATGTCTGCATAGGTAAACGGTGTATCGAGCGACGGCTCTGTTCCCTCCAAGCCCAAGGATGTGTGTGATGAACACTTGTTCTTCATCTGCATCAAACACACAACATCTACTTCTCATTTCATCCCAGCTGCCTTTGAAATCCTGTCAAATGACAAACCCGCCCGCTCGCTCACTCTTTTAAACTACACTTGGCTTCCAAAGCCCCGAAAACAAACAAGACTTTTTCTCAGTGGACAGAAATAAAGTCTCTAATCGAGATATCAATGATATCTGATGTATTTGAGAAACTCAGACATCTCTTTTGTTGGCTTTAAAATAACATCGAGTGATCGTTTGTCATCGGTTGAATGGCTAGGTGAACATTTCGACCTTTGATCCCACACCAGTTTGCGATGGCACTTCTCTAAACGGGACTTTGATCTTAGTTTTATAATGTTGAAGTCTAAATGAGCAACAGCCTGGATTTTCATTCAATTAATCAATCAATCAAGCAAGCTAAAGCATGAATGTAGCCTTAGTCTGATGAAATTACATGGAACGATCCTGTGTATGACGGACTTCTCCTGCATGATTTGAGGAAATGATCATTAATTCTTATTTGATCATTCTACTTTGAGATCTTTGTGACTGCCGTTATTTAAACAGCAGCCGGTTGTGTGTATGTGTTGCATTCAGTGTTACACTACAGCTCTAAAGTGGCAATTGACCAAAACTGTGGCAAACCTTTGCAGATCTACTGATAAAGATGGTCAAGTTTCATATGTCGTCGTATGACGGAAGAAGTACTTGATCGTATTAGGTGAACTGTCATACTGCTATTCGTGTGTATGTAAAGCAGCAAAGCACTTTATGAACCCATTTGCCTTCTGGACGCCTGAAAAAAAAAACACTGCAGAAGATGCAATGGCTCGTTTTAGTTTATTAACACCTGGAATTTAAAGGAAATGCAATTAGACAATCGTCGATAGCTTGTGTGTAGCTTTTTTTTCTGTTTTAGCTGTCAGTGTGAACGTTTTAGTTTCTGTTTGCTTTAGAACGATGCACCTTTTGCTGGAATGACTTTGTTTGGTTTGACTTGATAGTGCCTTAAATTAATTAGTATCACTGGACAATCGAAACAAATCTGAGACTTACAATTTGACATGCATCCAGCATTTTCGTATCTTCATAGCTGTTTTGTAGCTGTTCATTGCTTGCACTATTTGCATTTTCCAGTGATGGTAAGGTGTTTTTGTGTGCGTTTTTTAACTTTGTTGAAAATATGGTTTCACATCAAGGTGTTTTTAAAACATTTACTTCGAATTGTGTGTGGTAGAATGATTGTGATGGATGCACGTGAGAGTTTTTAGAATAATAGTGATGTTGAATTGAGGAAATGAACTGTTTTGTATATACGGATACAGTATTTATAATGCGTTCTCTGATATTGTTGTCTTTTTATTCGTATTTGCAGAAGCCAAAATCTAAAATAAGTGCAAAATGCATGTGGTATGGGTGTGTGTACATAAATAAATTTCACTTTTATATTTACTGTGTGGTTTGTTCTTGCATTGCAAAATAATCAGTGAATATGTGTCCTTTAATTCATTTGTTGTGGGAGTTAGGAGCATTGACTCAAATGTAGCTCATTCATTCATTTTCTTTTCGGCTTAGTTCCTTTATTAGCCAGGGGTCGCCACTGCGGAATGAACCGCCAACTAATCCAGAATGTTTTACGCAGGGAATGCCCTTCCAGCTGCAACCCATCACTGGGAAACAACCATACACTCTCATTCACACATACACTACAGATAATTTAGCTTACCCAAATTCACCTATAGTGCATGTCTTTGGACTTGTGAGGGAAACCGGAGCAACCGGAGGAAAGCCAAACGAACGAAATGCCAAGTGACCCAGCCGAGACTCTAACCAGTGACCTTCTTGCTGTGAGGCGACAGCGCTACCCACTGCACCAGTGCGCTGCCCTCAAATATAGCCAAATAATGTAATTAGTGGAAATATTCTGAAGATTTTATATGTATTTGGTGTGCTGGCATCTTTGAACATTCAATTTATGTTTCAGGCCCGTAGCCAGCCCATTGAAAGGGTTCTTTTTTTTTTTTTTTTTTTTTTTTCAGTTATTTGCTTTATTTTCTATTAAATTACGAGGCTCAAATACTGCATTTTAGTGCCATTTTACGCACTAAACTCTTCTGGACTAGCTTGCCGGATGGTGATTATAACCACACTTTTTGAATATTTCCTACAATTTTGTCCAGTGCTTACTATACTATTTTAAGTTTTCATTTACAAATGTGCATTTTAAACAGTTTTATTAATAATGTTATGCGATAAAATAAATTGAATAAAGAAATATAAAAAATACTTTTCATTAAAAAAAACTACCAAGAAAAAAAAAATTGGATTGGATTTCTTAACTCCTAATGTTGCAAGTTAACACACTCAATGCATTTTTTTTTCAATGCATCCCATAATTTCTAAAATATCAACCTCTACCAAATGGTTGATATGTCAGTTTGTGGTAAAAATACCACAATTAATACATATACAATGAAAATATGAAGTGTAAGACCAATTTATTTAAAAAATATTCAAAATAAAACATTTTGAACACTAAATGATCTTTATTTCAACCGTTTGGTAGAGCAGGCAGTCAAAGCAAAAACTAGACTATTGACCTAGTTCTAAAATGCGGAGGTGCGCCTGTTTTCGCGATTGTTTTAGAACAGTGGTTCTCAAACTTTTTTCATCAAGTACCACCTCAGAAAAAAAATGTCTCTCCAAGTACCACTAAAATGAGCAGTATTGAAATACAGTAGCGTAGTAGGCCCAGTAAAGCAGCTACAACTATGCACAGTTAAAAAAAAACATGGCAGATAAACTCAGAAATATAGGCTAAATGTCGTGTATAGTTTATTATATACATAATTTTTAATAAATTTTGAAATATATGTGGCATGTACATGACATATTTAATTCCTCTGCATACCACTAGAAGGAAGCCCGCGTACCGCTAGTGGTACATGTACCACAGTATGAGAACCACTGTTTTAGAACTTACGATTCAGTCCCCTAGGGGAGAAATGACTAGGAATAATAAAACGGCAGAAAACGGTCAAACTTATTCTACAAACAAATGTTTGCATTGCTATACAGACCAAGTAGAATAATAATAATAATAAGAAAATATCAGTTTGCAAAATAGAAAATATCAGCTTGATGAGCAGTTTTTTTACGTCTAAAAATGAATGAAAGTGAATGAGACCGGAAGTCTCGAGCCAAAAAGATTCAAATGGCTGCGCCCGCTCGTCGGCAAAGAACAAGGGGAATAGGCAAATAACAAACTGGCCAGTTCAGTTACTCAGTCAGATTTTGTCAATTTGAATAATCAAAACTTGTCAAAGCCTTCTTCTATCGGTTATTTTCACAATTTATGATGGCATACTGTCAAAAATGGGACAAATGAGCTCACACAGGGCCCAAATTCAGGTTTTTTGAACCTCCCAAAGCACCCTGGCTATACAGGCCTTTCTTTCATCAAACAAGTCAATGTCAATTTTAGTTATATACCGCTATTAAACACATCCAAATGTTGACCAATGTGCTGCACAATACACATCACAACAAAGAAAAAAAATAGAATTATAAAATTATAGCTAAAACGAGCTATTTTAATTAATAAAATGCCAAATCAAAGAGGTAAGTTTTCCCCCTATATTTAAAAACAGACAGAGATGAAACAGATCTAATATAGAGGGGCAGAGCATTCCTAGGACCAGCTACTGCAAAGGCGCGGTCACCTCTGCATTTCAGCCTCGACTTAAGCCCCTTTCACACAGTGATAACGGTAAATAGCCGGAAAATAGGGATATATATAACAATCTCTGGTTTGATGACCAAAGAGACCGACCAGACTGATGTTTAGTCAGCATGTCTTACAGATAAGGAGCCAAACCATTTAGTGATTTAAAAACCAAGAGAAGAATTTCAAAAGTGACTGTAAGACTGGTGTAATGTGGTCTTGTTTCTTGGTACCTGTGAAAAACCTTGCAGCAGCATTTTGATTTAATTGTAAACGGGATAGAGTTGTCTGACTAATACCAAAGAACACTCAGAAACAAAGCCATATGCAAGTTGTCACTGGGGTGGTACTTTTTCAAATGATACAAATTTGTACTCAAAAAAGTCCATATTAATATCTCAAGGGTATATATTAGAACCTAAAAAGTACAAAAGTGTTCTTCATAAATTTTTAGGTACTAATATATACATTTGAGGTACCAATATGGTACCACCTCAGTGACAGCTTGCGCACCTTTATTTCTGAGAGTGTATTGTGAGTTACAATATAGTCCAACCTAGTGGTAATAAAAGCATGGATTATTTTTTCCAGCAGCGAAGGTGGTTAGGTATTGTTGTGTAAAAAAGTTTCTGGTCTACAAAATATTTTCTAAGTCTCCAAGTCAAAGTTTTAAAAAAATGGCAAAGACTGAGATTTCCGAAGTCTTAAGGCAAAGCAGTTTAATGTTACAGCATCAGTAACAACAGAGACAGGTCGTTCGATTGTCTGATGAGTATAGGCTAGCGCGCAGTTTAAATACACTTCTTTGTCTTAATACTCCACCCAAATTTACACATTACACAGCTCCCTTAGCTTCTCCACTAATAGGATCTCAAATCTCTCAGGTCTCCACCACCAATAGAATCTCAGGGTCTTTCAGGGGTCTTACCTATGTCCAGTTAAGGTCTTCCTGTTTCAGATGTGATGACTAGGCCCACACGGAATCTGCGCGCACAGATTTCCGCAGATTTTTAGCCCATCATTATTTCTGTTTATTTACTTAAGTAAATGTTTTAGTCATAATACTACCAAAATTATTCTGCAGAAATCCGCAGATTTTTACCAAAATTCTCTGCAAAAACAGCAAAAAATGTCAGCAGATTCCATCTGGCCCTAGTGAAGACCAAAAAAACAATGCTCAACAATATATCTTCTTCACTGTCCTCTGAGCTGTCAACTCTAAGTTCAGCTGAAGTTCATAGGTATTAATATTTTTTAGAAGTCATTACAAATGAGTTTGGGCGCACATGCAGGTGTGCCTTATCATGAGTTACAGAACAGAATGCAGGTGTCCTTATGGCATTGCTTCCATAAATCTACCCTCATTGTGACATTAATGCTGCTCTTCTAATTTCTCTTCTACGGTGGCTGGGAAGTGCAAAACAACATTACAAAGTTTGAAACACTTTTACAAAGCTCGGAGCAAATTTACATTTTGAAAAACATTTTTACTTATCATCAGACACAATTACATAGGAAAAACAATTTTACAAAGGACGAAACAAATTTACATTTTAGAAAACAAATTAACAAGACGCAAAACACTTTTAAAAATCCCAAA